TCCAATGGTTCTCTAACCAGTGTCAGCTCGTGATAGAATCAAGTCAGCCATCCACCGAATTCCTTTGAACCAATATTTTAATTTCAATCTGAATAATTGGGGAAAAATGAAACGAACACATATCTCTTTTTCTAATGTTACTTGTATCAGAATTAATAAACTCAAGTCAGATGAGAATAAATTTCACAGTGCCTCACTGACTTAAAACTTCTTCAGTTGGATGAAAACATCATATAACATTTATGTAGTTAAACCTAAAGATAAATTCCGGATAATTTTAGGCTAACAAAGGTCAACTGTGAAGTCGAATGAGGCTATTTCGAATTCCAAGAAACGAATTCCAGCCTATTTGATATTTGTCTGATGCACGTGTCTACAATGCCCAGCAAAAAATTATCTCACTGAAACATACTCTTTCAAACATTAAAGCGTTATCCATTGGTGGCAATGCAGTTATAACTACAGTTTCTTGTGTCACGGGTATCAGAGATAGAAGTTGAAAGAAATCGTCAAGCAGATGTTATATCCTGTTCACTCAAAGTATCCAAGTTGATCATTTCGTTTTGAAGTAAAGATGTATAAACTAATTAGGTAAATAGGTACAAAACATACAAGTAAACACAGTGTTCAAAATGCAATTAGTGAAAAGCCTGTAATTACAAAGGGACTGTTTTACTCTATTCTCACAGATGAAATCTTCATGTGAAAAAATCTAATATGCAGGAACTTATGAGAAATAACGAAGAAAGAATATAACATATTTCTATCCTCTGGTCTTTCTATGGTGATTACATTTCATTCTCTTTTTCTGCTCTTTTAATTACTTTCAAATATTCACGTTGTATCCCTGGAAATTGTATCCGAATTTCTCCGCTGATATATATAAATCCTAGAACTATTTTCAGAAAAAATAACATAAACAGTATCCTGCCTAGTCGTGTACGCACCTCATTAGAATGAATAGAATTATTGTAACATTTTGCAGTTGAATAATTACACCTTTCCTTATTTAAGGTTGTGGAAGTGGGTGGTACGTGCCACTAATTCTCCGCACTGTGAACATGGTGAATAATCACTTGAGTGGAGATCAGTTAATTTAAAAATAGAGAATAGAAGAGTACCAAACGGAAGCCAAGCCCACGAAAATGTGTCAATACATTTTGTGACAGAAGGATTTGTTTGAGTTACTGAGTAACATATGGAGAGAATTCTATTCACGATGTCTAATGCAAACTGAGGAAGCCCACTGTTGATTTAAGCCGGTCACATGTCTACGTCGCTTATATGTTTAAAATTGAACCAGTATACAAATGTATTTGGATTATTAAACATTTGAATTCTATTGTGTTACTACTAAAACCAGATTGCATCGGTTATTGCTTGTAAACGTAATTTTATTTATAGACGCCTAAGGTGCATCAAAGAGGTAAGATAATGGAGGATTTCTCAGGATAATGTCCTATTGTTTCTTAGGCAAAACGGAGATTACATTCAATGAGGAAAGCTCAGGGAGCGGACCTAGTCGAATGTTCTAATTGATGAGGTTTTAATTAGGGTGAAAGGGATACGACCTTATTTTATGCTAATTCTCCTAGGCATTCATAGAGTGATAAAAATCATTTACAGTAATGACATGTTCAAAACAATGAAGTGATTGAAGTAAATAGTATTGAAAATTTCGTCACTTTCAGAATCTCAATTTTATCACATAATCAAGAAAAAGTAGACGAATTTAAGGGTCTTACCTAGATTACTCACAGTTAACCTATTTGTGGGAGAGCGAAGAAGGCTTTAATGCAGATATGATATGGTTGTTATGATTATGATCACTACTAAAATTTATTCTTTGCCTTATGAGATAAACGTTGGGATTCATTGACACACCCATATCTCATTCACTTCACTGTTATCACATCCATCTGGCTTCGCGATTACTCAAAATCTTTCACTCCTTCTTCGCATTATCATCGTCGTAAAACCATACGATAGTTGATCGGTCACTACCTATGTGAGTGACACTCGTGTGCTTCCGTAGCGTATGATAACACTTGAATGACTTCATGGCGTCCGACTAACCCTTATGCATTTTCTTCTGCACATTTTTGACCAATATATACCTAGTCGGTTCACAGCTTTTCAATGTTCAATTTTCGATCATCCTTTCTGCACAGTCACCTAATGTGGAGTATCCAATGAAGATTGCCACCTCTGATGAAAGACTGAAGTCCTACTACCTCGCAGAAGCAGTGATATGAAATAGCATTTGAAATATTGTACTGAGCACTGTGAATCTTTTCACACTTACCTCAAAGTGGTAACCAGCTGCTGTGCATTCTCGACACTGCCTTTAACAGAATACCGTCAGGGCAACTTTTAAGCGATATACACACGATTGTCCATATCAGAAGTTGATATATCTTCATGTACTAAGTATTTCAGTTCGACAAATCAAATAACGATTTCATTGTATAAACCTTGAATTGATCTTCTTTGATAATATATCCTCATCAGACTATGGAGTCTTGAAAGTGTCCTTGAACATTGTTTCACTTGTTTCGAATTTTCAACGTGATATGAAATAACATAGGCCTAATTATAAAGCTGGATAATGTCATCATCAACATAGGTATTTTCCACTCCTTTTACATTTTTTGCATCTTCAATTTTAATGGGTTCTATTCCTGTTGGCTTCTATGTTACCGCTGTGGATGTCGATAATCTTTTCTATACATTACTCAACTGTTTGTCTGACTACATACCAGCTTGATTAAATTGGCCTTCTCGCATGTCCTCGTCTTCCATTGCAACTTCTGAATTTCATATTAAGTTGAAAATCCTGATCTTCTGGAAGTTTTGCCGTAACTGTTGTCCTAAATAACCACGAACATGACGTACAAAACCGTTGGGTATGACAGCAGAAGATTTATTACAGATATTAAATGATTTAACTTCTGTATCCAGCTGTACCCTAACACACATGCTTAGATTTTACATAGCTTATAATCCTAAAATGTCATTTGACCAATCTGTGTAACATGTTAAGGGTTATGAAATCTTGTGGTCGTTTGTTTCACACACACACACCATCCAATCTGTGCATTTTATTATTTCACCAGAGCACAGGTGTTTTTCGTTAGCCTAACCGATTACGCTATTTAGTTGAAAATACAAAATCATACGTTTTAATGTTGATTGACTTGAGGACCTAATAGCCAAAAACAATAATGATTTCGTGGCAAAATGAAAAAGGTTTACACTGTTCACCTGTAATTTATTCATAAATATTTGTGAGAAAGTATAATGCTTTTATGTGGTGAGATTACCAATCTGAGTGGCTTATCATCTTGGTGAACAATAAATTCATGTCAGTTATTCGAAAACTATGGAGGAAAAGCTCTAGACCAAGGTCTCACGCTCTCTGACACTCGTTAGATAGAAGTGCTGGTAAATATGAAGCAATATGAAGCAATATCTCTGAGTAAACGACAGAGGATATTTGTTACTCTATCTGTCAATTAGTATATCTATTCCAATCATGGAGAATACCACATGTAAGCCCAGAGAGGGGAGTAACAAAGACAATTGCTAGAGGATTCGCTGATTTAGACTTGAAGTGCAGTATGGTTGTAGGTTCTCATTGCCTTAAGCGTTGATGATGTCGACTGCTGACAAGTGCCAGAAAATAGTTGACGTGTGACAATCATAGGAGTATCAGTTTGCTTTCAGTCACGTCTAAAATATTGGCTGTAATCTTGTTTTTCAGACTGTGAGAAACACGACAGGAACTGTTTCATGAGCATCAGAAGCGTTCACTCAAGGCCGTAGATGTACTGACCATGTGCTTACCGTTTGCCAGTTGCCAGAACACTTATATATGTAGTGTATGCTAACAATTGTTGACGTTTTTGTGATCAGAGCTGGCTTCAGTTAGTTGAACAGAACTGCTCCCTGGCACTGTGTGTTCGAGGAAAGTTTACGTGAGAAGTTTGTTAACCATTTTTTAAGCGTGATACAAAACACTTCAGGTTTACTGGGAATATTCACGATTGTTCCCAACCAAAAGGGTCACTCAATCTCTTCATTTATTTTAACAAATCAAGAACAGCAGTTTGTTCAAAATAAGACTGTACAATTCATTCAATGTTATTTAAACAGCAACATAAATGTTCTTGTTCATAACACTAATTCATTCATTCACTATTATGGCTGGATATATAAATGTAGAGCCTGATGATGAAGTTATCGTTAGAAGTACTCTTTGTTCAGTATCCATTCTTTTGAAAATTTTAATGGGCATTTTCAATCATTTACCGAAGAATGCATTGCGCATTATCAGCTATACAAACACACGGATTAAATATATTTGCTGGCAAATAAATCGACTGTAAACTGTATATCCACAATTCGGTTCATTTTTCAACTTAAATATATTTATTGAGGATGAAACATTCCTACCAAAGCAATTCTTTTTACAAAGAAGTGCTTTCCTGATCGTGTTCAAATTTTACTTAGAATTCATATGAAGTAGTTACATTCGCTTATGTGTAACAACACGTTCTATATAGCGTCTTTCTTATTTCAAGATTTATTATGGCCAGGGCGTCTACCAATTTTAGTTACGCTAAGCCGAATAAAAAGTGTGAATGGAAATCAAAATTCAAACAGTCTGTATGATCATATGCAGTAAAGAAGAAGGACTTATGTGCGTGTGTGTGCAAACAACAATTGGAATAGAATTATAATAATTAACTTGATCTATTCCACAATGCTCACAGACTACAATAACTACTCATGGACACAATGTATAACCTCAATGTTACATTCAATTACAATAAATTACGTGACAGAAACTCGTATTCTTCTCATTATGCTCACTACACTGCTCACATTTCCACTAATCCCTGTGTATAATGAAATGTTCACTTATGTTCCATTGTCAATAATCTTCATTCGTGCGTGTGATCACAATGGCACAGATATATCCACCTTTTGGATAACGTGGGAAATATATAATAGCCTTCACTACACCGTTGCAATAATAATTCGACTATGCAAATTTGTACGTTGTTTACGATAATGGTATTGTCAGTTCTGATGATGGGCGACCAGGTTGTACATGCTGGAGGTATGTTTTCTTTTGATGTGCATTTTATTTTTTGTGATTATAGTACATTTTTATTCATTAGGCCGCCTTGGTAGTATTTGAAATTCGGTAGATGCCTTATTTACTGTTCAGCTATTCTGAATTTTGGTTCAGCCACTTTATGTAGTCATGTCGTTGATGTATAGTCATTCATGAGGGTAAACTTCAACTTCACTCTGTTGATAGCTTGCATGTTAGTTTTGTTTGTGACCACGAGATGCTTCGTGAAGTTCATAGTGTCATGTTTACAATAGATGAATCCGGTGGCAAGAATACGCGAGAGATATTGATATTCTTAATATTAGGAAAGCATTGTCATTTTAATTGATTAAAATGCCTATTAAAATTTTCAAAAGAATGGATACTTAACAAAGAGTACTTCTAACGATAACTTTATCATCAGGCTCTACAGTTATATATCCAGCCATAATAGTGAATGAATGAATTAGTGTTATGAACAACAACATTAATGTTGCTGTTTAAATAACATCGAATCAATAATATAATTGATAGATTACAACTGAACGGCATCAACATAAAATAAGCTGAGTGTCAGGGAAATTAGGAGAGATAATATTACAGACTCATGAATTTATAGGCTCTACTGACGACTGCCCAAGCCAGTAATAAGGGTTGGACTTGCTTCTTTAGAACACAGAAAACTGGTTGCCTGAGGCGAATCGCAATAGCCTCTCCTGTTTGGAGCATGTGGGGCTTCAGTGATTTAGGCATTTTATTAGGCATCCGGTAGATGATGATAGAGAAGGATTCTCCAACGCTGGGTTTGTGATCGGCCGGTTTGCACCAGATGGTCCAATATCGAAATGTTGATGGTTTTAACCACACCTTTACTTAGCCATAATGTGAAATGTTCGCGAGCAACAGCCAATATAACTCGCTCTATCACAAGCTCAGTTGAATTGATAGATGCACTTTGAAATGCATGGTCTAGGTACTTCATCTTTCAGTCGAGGTAGCACCGTCAGTCGTGTGGAGAACAAGACGTAACTTTCGCCAGCATTAAAAGTTCTTTCAACTGATTTCTTAATATCCTCGTGATTATCTCACTTGGTATACCGCCCTTGAATCGCAGTCGTATATAAAGTGGTTTTCTGTGTACAAATGATGAGTAGTCCTTTTCCGCCGCTTTCTTTGTCATGTTTTTCTTGATAAATTTGTCGGATAGCTATTTTTGATCAAAGTATCATATACAATGCTTAAGTCATCTTCAATTACTTCTTCTGAGCATACAGCTCTAACTCTGTGGCTGAGAATCTTCACTCAATTTCTTTTGTACTTGATAGGAACAAAGCTGTGAAAATGTGCATATTGTCCTGTCCAATTACGTTTTCTATGCAAGTTTCTTTTTATGCTACCATCTAGTTTTCTTGAAAGTAGGACATCCAGGAAGACAGTTCCGTTTTAAGATTCCTCTTCGCATGTAAATTTCATAGCCGAATGTAGTTCTATGAATTCAGTAATTACTTTACTTCTATCAGAACCATCATCACAAAGAATGTAGGTACCGTCCATACATCCGCAATAAAATGAGAGCTTTTTCCAGCATTTTCTAGCTTACTTAGAAAGAAATCAGCCAGAATCGGACACAATGGGGAGCCCATCGCCACCCCTTTCACTTCCTTGCAAAGCATGCTGTCATATTTGAAGTTTACATTCATGGTACATCTTAATAACAATTCTTTTAAGATTACAGTACGGATACCAATGTTTATCGACTGCTTGTCCACATGTTTACCTATTTAATTAACTGTTTCTATGAAGGGTACATCTGTGAATGACGGTGTTATGTCCAGAAATATCATGGTTTTTCCTTGATAATAATATCTTTGATTTTGTCTTCGAATTCAAATACATCTTTGACTCTATATTTCATTATCTTATCATGCAAAGGTTTGAGAATATTTACTAAACATCTAGCTAGAGCATGGCAGGGCGAATTTTGCACAGCAAGTGTTGATCTTAACGGTACCCCTGGTTTATTCACTTTAGGTAGGCCATACAATCTTGTAGTATACGTACCCGTTGGTCTGATTTCTTCGTATAAGCTCCCAGAAAATATCTCCTCCTCTCTTAGTTTAATCAAACGTCTGGTTAATTCATTCTCTGTTTTGTTATTGAATTCCTTCTTCTCCTCATGGTATGGAAACTTCTGTGTGTCCTTCAATATATCATTCATCTTTTTAATATAGTCACTTCTATCAAGAAGGACTACTCCTGATCCTTCATCCGGCTTTGTGACTATGAGTCTCTCATCATTAATCAGATTTTTAGTTCTTCTCTGTGCTCCTCTGTCAAAAAAACATTTACTGTTGCATTTGAGGTTTTTGTACTGATGACAACAATCCACTAGACTGTATTTGAAGCGTTCTAGTTCCAAGGGGGACGATGGATGGATGGATACCTTGTTTGACTAAATGGGTTTTCGAATTTAATATCAGTATCTAAGTGATTAACTCGTTTTGATCTGTTACAAAATCGAAGGAAAGTACTTCAAGTTGCACCTTATTTAATTCAACACTACTTTAGTTGTAAACGTACCTTTTAGGATCTGGTGGAAATTTATCAGCCTCTGGCTTCCTTTCAAGTCCTTTTATGAGCTGTATCGGCTTCGTTGACTAACTTGAGTAAAGTATTCCATAAAACGCGTTCTCAGATCTTCTGGTAGTTCATCTACTGCATTTTGCCTGCGAGTGACATTCAATTCATTCCCTTGTATGATTGTAGATAAAGAGTCGGTTTGGTTTAGTGCATATCGTTTCCCCGTCTTCTATTGGGATGAACTCTGCTTCTACGTAGAGACTTGTAATAAACTTCAAGACAGTGATTTGACTTGATGCAATGGTTAATGAAGTTCACTACAGCCTTTGTTTCATTGAGCTTAGCGTTATTTATACCTTATGTACTCATTGAGAACCTTCGGCGCTACAGGCGCCTCACAACATTTTAACTGATTAAAAATACTCATTAATATTTTCAAAAGAATGGATATTGAACAAAGAGTACTCTTTACGATAACCCCTTCATCATCAGGCCTTACAGTTTTATATACATTATAGTGAATGAATGAATTAATTAGTGTTATTAACAACATTAGTAGTGTTTAAATAAAATCGGATCAATAATACTGATAGATTACAGATCGTTAGCATCAACGTAAAATAAGCTGAATGTTAGAAAAATCAGGAAAGATAATGCTGCAAAAGTCATCGAAGCATTGCATGCTCCAAACATCGGAGGCTATTGAAATTCGCCTCAATCAACCACTGCTGTGTGTTCAAAAGAAGCAAGTCCAGTCCTTACTAGTTATTTTGCCAGTGGTCAGTAGAGACTATAAATTCATGAATGTGTAATTTTATTTTTCCTGAATTTCCTGACATATAGTTTATTTTAAGTTGGTGCTCAATGAGCCGTCAAATATTCTTTGTTAAAAAATATATCCCTGAAGTCTCCGCGAAGTTAAAATGAGCGACTTCAAAGTTTTGTACAGAAAACTGGTCCGAACATATTCAGGAAAATTAATCGAAATTAACACAAGACAGGTTTATATATAAAAAGGATATCTCATATCTTTGAAAACTTTGTCCTAACGTTTGAGTCATGAAACAGGCATCCACCTGTATAATAGAAATAATTGTATAAGATGTGAGCACAATTTGACCTCAAAATTTCAAATGTTGGTCTACTTCAGTTGTGCACTTTGAACAGATTACGATCGACTGGAAGTTGATGGTCGTAGGTAACTGAATGTGAAAATATATGTGCATATGCAGTATACAATGGTGTGTTTATGAGTGTTTGAGTGAACACTTGTATTTTATTTCTTAGCCTCTCTATCAGAATATATGGACAATTAGGAATTAGTGACATATATCCATGCATCAGTTAATGTCACACCTTCTCACCTGATCAAATTGTTGAGATTCACCCATGTATGTAGAGCTTCTACTGTCAGTCTATCCTTATACTATCCAAAACCTTTTTGCAGAACCCTAGTCTTATCAAAGTCAATTTCGTGTCCCGTTTCTGTCGAATGAAGTGCGATCGCTGATCTATTTTCCAGCTTCTTTAGTCAGCAGAGGTCAACAGTCAACACAAATCACCTAGTACACACAATCCTGTTGGTTTTCTCCCTCCATTTTATCCCTAGCCCTTATGAATAATAGGTATAAACTGTTGGTTGCACGTGAATACACTTCAATATCATAATTGCTAAGGCTTCACTTCATGTCATCATATTTTTCTTTGCAGTAAAGTATCGCCAGTGCGAATAACCCAACTCTTACCAGCAGGTTTCTACCCATCCTTACCTTCACATCTTTAATATCTCTCTAAGTAGGATTCATGATAATTATTTGATTCCATCAGTAATTAAAAGTTCATCTAATTCGGTGTAATGGAAATAAAAGTAGTTGACTAAATTAATAAAAGTGCATCTCAAACATCTTTCATAATGTCTCTCATTTTCAATGAAATTTGTTCTCCTCCGCAGCCGTGACTGATATTTGTTACAAATCAGTATCAAAGGATTATTGTAACGCTTTTGTATGTGTAAATGGTTTGCGCCACAAATGGTAGATATCTTAAATCTTGAGAATTGCGATCACCGTATCTCTTCAATGGAGAGTGTTGCATTCATCCGGACATGCTCTTGCCATGTGAGCGAATCTATTTTACCCTTATTTCAGCGAATGCATCACGTTGTGTTATATGTTATTGGAAACAGTAGTTAGAACAATAGGCTTGCAAATTGAGTAGCATGCAAATCGGTATTCACAATTGCAAGCGTTTCACCGGTCATGTCAAAATTGGTGAAAGGGCATATCAAAAACGTATAGAATTTCGCCAACTAATTTAGTGAAAATAAATCACTTTTCACCTGGATTTCATGTTTCCTCATAACCATCTGATAATTTTACCCCATATCACATCAATCGAAGAGAATTACTCAACCTACAGGCTTGTCAACAGTAATAAATCACTCAGCCACTTGTTTGCGTGGTGAAATATGCCTGAGACGGTGTGGTCTGCGTTCGTTATCTTATATTCATATAATGATTGGCGAATAGAGGGCGCCAGACTCCGATGACATCAATTGTATGCAAAGCAGGAAGTACTGATATTAGTCGGAAAGTGGCAAACAAGTCCTCTGAGTCGAAGTGTGCTTTATTAGTACCACTTCAACGCTTAATATATTCTGATTGTCACAGGATTGAGACTATCACCAGCAGAACACACTCAGATATATAAATGGTAGATATTACTGTGTTAGAGCAGAATCTCAACTATTCACAAATGAATATTGGCCATCATATTTCTAATGTTGATGTCCGCACCATAATAATGATTATCACTGGTAGATCAATCTTTCAGGTCATGACTTCGGATAACTGTACGTGTTGGGTAGTGTTTTGAGTGGTCTCTTTCATTCTAGACTTTAGTATTTGAAGGAGAGAAACTGGTACCGTTTCACTGAAAATTTTTTACTTCTCATAATCAAATAATCACAAATCAGTAGAACTCGTCGCCTTCTCCTAAACCGCGGTGGTACATCCCTGACACTATGTAATTTCTACACTTCTGTCATCTGAGTGAACACACTCTCCGTGTGTCAATCACACACTGTTTTGTCGTTGTACAGACGATGAATAGTCGAATCAGGAGAATAGATCTGTTGTAGTGTATGTTCACTGATGTGCATATGTCTCCATTATTCCATTGCATGAAAGGAAACAAAAAAAAATGAAATTTGTGTACCAGTAAATTGAAGTCGATTTCAACTCAGGACACACTGGTCATTGAACACAATGAAGACAATCACTAACATTCCTATGAAAAACAATGATCTGTATATTTTCACATGTTTATAGTAAGTTTGACAAAGTTTGAAGGACAAGCCCTGGGTTGCCTTGAAATAACTCTCTGCAGCTCTGTCATTTCACTGTATGCTGGTTGATGAGATGACTGTGCGTAAATGGATAGCAGATTTCTGTCAACTATGAACTGAACTCGATCTCTGACCACAATTCACTTGAGTCAAATTGACGTCGCTTATAAATCCAGGCTAAACGTGATGCTAAGTAAAGGATGTAAATGTTTCATCTCGCAATAAAAAATAATTGATTAATTTTTCTTGAAAATTTCATGTTAACTTTCAAAGCAAACTGCGCCACTCATTTTCATCAAAATACCAACATAATTGTATTTGTTTTCTTTGAAAGGAGATAACTGTTTGTGTCGGGATGACGTATTTCTTCCTTTTTACAATGGGAAGTGTTGTCCCACTGAACACTGTCTACGTCGTAAATCAACAGGTGCTCGATTTTGTTGTAGAGACCTGCATCGACCTTGTAGCTCAGATGAAGACTGCTGTGAAAAAACTTGTCGAAATTCTCGTTGTCAAAGCAATAATGAATTCTGGAACTCGTTAATTGAGCAGTTGAAGGTGTCGGGATAATGAGAAATAAATCACTTTTGACAAATTCCTTGTCTTCTGAATACAAATCTACTGCCTCCTTCATTCGAAATCTCGCGAATTCAGAGTAATCGTCAATCTCACATGATCTCCGAAATCAGCTAGCCAGTTGAAATGAGTTAACAGAAGTTTGTTGATCAAGTGGTTTCAGTGAATAATGACCTGGGGTAGTTAATTTCACTGGAATTTACACTGTTAATCTCCACAGAGTATGATTAACATGTTTGGCGGTTGAATATATTCCTTCAATAGCTCACAATAGGAGGCATCACGAGTTTCCTGTGATATGCTTAAAAACGCCTACTCAGAGACCAATAGTAGATTCTTGTGTTGATAAATGCGATCAAAGATAAACGAAGGCAATTCTAGGACTCAGAAATATAGTGGGTGATTAGTGAATTATATCTCTGCCTACATTCCGTCTATCGAAATGATTGCGTAATGTAGGAAGGAAATCTCGGATATTACAGATGACTATTTGATGCATGAAACAACTACATTCAGTTTACACGCATTATGAAAATATGAGAATTTTGAGTGTGAATTACTCTGTGTGATGAGAAATGTGCATTGTATCATGTGGACTACTACGTCAAACTTAACCTCAGCTTCAGGAAATACAGGAATATGTATGCATGTGTCTGTACCTGAAGAGATTAGAACAAAATATGTAGGAGTCGATGAGGTACGAATGCGAGTAATAAAATGCGACCAGCGATAGATGACAATATAATTGTTTCTAACTGCACACACCAAGTTGAATCTTTATTCTGCTGATTTGCCAATGGTTCTCAGTACCTGTAGTCTATAACTTCAGTATCCAGTATTCACTGTGTAAGTTATTTAGTGAAAATGTTTCTGAAAGGGCAGTTGCATTGACACTGCCTCTCAGGGATAAGAAATGAGAAAAGTATGCGTAGGAATCAGGGTCATTAAACACTATATAGACTCTGATTGCAACAACCATGTCCGTCCACACTAGATGACTGTTCATTTTTGACAAATGAATCCTCATTCTTGAGTGTTCCGTCATCACTAATTGAAATCAGGGAGCTGTTTGTGTACAAAGGGAAAGAATTTCCTCACTCTTGCCAGTTTTCCATTCTTACTGAAAAATTCTGAATACACTGAGGTTAAATTTCTTCATGAGATGTTTCGTCATAGTCACTGAGAGTGAAAGCGACAGCAAAACCAACTAAAGTACCAGTGGTGTTTTTTTACGGTGAAGTTGGTAGCCTCAAAGTTTACCCTCTCAATTCACCGGACTCATTTATGCCAAGTGTAGTTTAGTAGAGTGACGGCCGAAAGTCAAAGACCGGACCAGTGCATGGTTAACCAGTGTTCTCCCATTGATCCACCATCACTGATTTACTTCCCATTGAAATTCGGACAATGAATGAAAGCTGCAAGAATAATTCGACAACAAGTCGTGCTCTCAGTCTACGGATTCATACACATGAAAGCAATCGAACACTCGTGGATGATATCATTTGTAGTGGTAGTTAATTCCCCAGAATTATTGACCACAGCATTCATCAATGAACATTGAATGCTGACCGTAACTGTCTGAGTCGTTTTGTTTAGCTGAAGGCTTACAGACAAGCACCTGTGCCATTCAGCACACCATCGTGTTACGTACGTTCGTTTGTGCACGATCCATAGCTAGTTAAGCAATCATCTTGCACTCCACTCTAGTTCGAAATATAGTTCGTACTTTGGAAGATCAATTGTGATATTTTGCTCTGCCATTAGTCTACGTGGAACGAATACTAGATATGACATTAATTAACTTAGTACTGTCCATGAATGGCGCCACCCTCAAACCTTAACCCTTGAAATTATTGAAAGCCTGGTTTCATCGTGGAAATTGACTTCAATGAGTGCCTCAGTTTTATTGTCTCTGATGCTTACTGACTAACCGTTTGAAAACATTCAAATTAACAATGACCAGGCAATATCGTATACAGTAGTCAACTGAACTCCTACTTTGGTGCAGTTCCCTACAAATCCTCGATCTATGTGATATGAAATATCTACGAGTGTGGGTTATTATGGTTGAAGCATGGGGTAACACGAATTCGATATCAAAGCATCATGTATTTATTCCACTTGATGAATTTGAATAAGGCAAGAACAACAGTGGTCTGTGCAGAATAATATGGTATCATCATTCGTTTCGTTGACTTTTCATCAGCTGCTTACAGCATAAATAGATTATGTGGTTAACGTACAGAAAGGTTTAACATACTTGTAAATTTTACATGCTGTCAGTTGGCAGAAACTTCCACAATTAGTGAACACTGCTCAGAAAGTTGCGCTTATAGTGTTTTTACACAGGCAAGTCACGTTTAAACAAAATAATTGTATTTATACAATGTTAAAGGAGTTACGTAATAAAGACAAGAGATGCTTAGGAGAATGAGTGACTGAAAAAATTAGGAAAGAATATACTGGGTTCAACTCAAATCATAGAAACAGGAGACAAGCAAAATTACAGATTATAAAAGGAGGGTGAATTTAAAGACAAAGATTACGTAATCAGATGAGAGGAAAAAAGAGACATCCAGTTACCAAGGCAAGGAAAGACTAATAACTGATTCTTTCTGAACACATAAATCTAGTTTCAAGCGTTTGATTGAGATTGCTTCGGCAAACTTCAGGAGTATGCAAATCCTTTGTCTATTGATAATTTTGAAAGATTTCTCGATTTCCACCTCATGACCCGTGTCAACGAGATGTCTGATAAAAGCGCTACTATAAGAGTTTGTTCCTTTGAGACGTAAGCTTTCCAGCACATGTTTGGAAAATCGGAGGTATGCCCTTCTTTCTGTTCCTCCAATGTAACTGCTCTCGCAGATACACGTAATTTTGTATACACAGTTGGAGTTAAAATAAGAAGAGTATCTATCGATTTTTGACTGCACCAAACAGCATGTTGTTTGATGGACAAGGACCAACTGAGCTGCAGGATAGGCTCAGTCTTTTGTTGACCGTTTCTGCGATGTTTTCAGCTTCAAAGTCTAGTTGGATGAAGACGGGCTTATTTCCAACTGTGATTTGTTTGGTATTTGAGCCTTCACATCTTCCATGTGCGTCGGTGGCACAGTGGTTAGGACTTTCGCCGACCATGCACATGGTCCGGGGTTCGAGCCCACGCCGACGCACACCTGATATCTATGGTCGGCCTGCGAAATTTAGGCTACCGATATCCATGCTGAAAATTCCATACTTGTAGCAAAAATTCGGTGTGGAATCAAGCTGTAATCAAAAATAAAAAATAAAATAAAAAAAATGAATCTTTGAGAATGGCCGTGGTTTTTCAGCACCTTTTCGATAATCATAAAGTTTCCTCTAGCTTCTCAGCAGAGCATATTCTCCTAGCTCTATAGTACAGAGTCTTGACTAGTGCTCCTTTATAGCTATTTGGAAAAAACTATTAAAATGTAAGTATTGTCCATTCCATGTGGGCTTTCGGAGACTACCATCTTCTAGGCGTTTTATGGCGACGTCAAGGAAATGGAACTGTCCATCATTTTCATGTTCCATAGTAAATACAATATTTGTATGTGCATTGTTGAATAGTCTGAGTAGGCAGGAGGCAGGACTTTCGCTGTTGCATACTACAAATGTGTCATCGACATATCGACAATAGGAAGTTGCTTGATCAATTGCATGCTTCAGCTTTGTTTTCTCAAGGTTTGACATAAAGATATCTGCTGAAACACGTGGAACAGCTAGACCACAATGTTCAAGTACAACAATCTCACTAACTCCTCCGTCTCTTCCAACTGTCTGAAGCCACTAGTTGCCAAATGATTCAAACAGCAGTGTGGTGATGAATCACTCAAGGTTCCACAAATTCTCTCTGGCAATCCCATTTTCGGATATTTTTCGTAACCAGCCCGGCGTCACATCAACACATTCATATATACCCTATACATCATAGATTGCACCTCTGACTATTCATCGAGTTTTTATTTTTTGCTTCAAGTTCCCAGTTGACTGTAGGGCTTCAAGCTAATGGATTGAAGTTTCTGTAGCATTGTTTATTTTGACAGAATGGAGTTGCTAGCCTCCTGCTCAGCCTTTCCGATTTACCAGCAATATTTCTGGCTTGGCAAAGTAGAGAAGTGCGTCGGCCAGTGTCAATTACTCACATCACTTGTGGACTGCTACAGGTGTACAAACAAATCCCTCACATTTTCTGATTTCTCATTCATTCAATTTTTATGGCGTTTGTGAGTATGGTCACATGCACAAGTTATGGTCATTGCAAAGTGGAGTTTAACAGTTGTCTTGCAGATACAAATTACTGTTTGACTATCGTGCGCATACAGCAGTCGAAGGTGATGAGGAAGATATAGAAGAGTGCATTCCTTGTTCAGTGATTACTCCTCTGAATTTTGAATCTGGTCCATTCACAGATTGTGAGGAATGACTGTGTTGTGTGTTCCAGTCTATGGAGAGCAACAACTCGTACTTGTATCTGTTTCTAGATAATGTTTAACTGGCAGACTGAGACAAAACGTTGCACATGACCGGTCTATTTCGAATGACGTCACCTCTTGAGAAACGCAATCACAAGAGAAAGAGTATTTGAAACTGTCGACCAGTCTGTCGTGTTAAATTGAAGCCATTGACTACGCTCATATTGTCATTCAGTCAGGCCTCTAAAGTACGCTGGACGTGATGGTAATCAGAAACTCGAATACAGGAGTGAATTATAAAATACGGAAACGTTTGTATTCAATGTGAAGTGTTACTTACACCAAGTCATGTAGATCTCACGTGGTCAACGCTCAACTGGTTCCACCCCCCCCCTTTCTTCACATTCGAACAATGTTCCACATGTAACATGGAAATTGAATTAATCATAATTATATTACATTATTCGTTTACGAGTAACAACACGTTCTATATATATTTTTGTAATTATTTCAAGCGTGAATATGGCACTTGGGGCGTCCACTCAATGTTGGTAA